TTTAGTACAAAATTAGAAACTGATAACAAATCAAGCCCATTTGTAGGACTCATGAAATTGTTATCTATATAGAAAAATAACAAGAAATCAATAGTATAACTGAATATTTACTTGATGTCCTATAAACTGAGGTCAGAATCGTAGTAATACCTAAGGACAAAAATGATGGCGTTTGAAACCTTGCCAAAACGAAATCAGATAAAGAAAGAATCTTTTAGAGCTTCAAATTATTGCGAAAAATTTTCTAGACTGTCAAAGATCTAAAGAGTGAATAATTGTATTTTTAAGAAAAATAATAGACCCTAAACTTTATTATGGCGCTTAAAAAAGCATTGTCAAAACGTAGATGCTTTAAGACAAAGCTAATTATATTAAAGGTTTTTACTTTTAAGGTAAAAATTGTTACAGTTAACATTTCACATAAATTATTATTTTCGTTTGTCTCGAGCGGTTTAGAGAAACGTGGTCCATTGGCAACTCAACCATTGTCACGCTATGCTTAATATTTAATTTAAATCTAATTTAAGTGTTGTTTAACAAAATATTTTCACATTCACAAGATTATTATAATTACTGATAAACAGAACAAATAGAAAGGTGCCGTGTTATCTGGTAGTTGGCAATAAGCAATTGTCGTTACTTGTAATGTAAAAGATATGATAAAAAAGAAAAAGTTAAGACACCGATTGGTTTGCGCTAAAAAAATAAGGTGAGAGGATTTAGGCATTAATTTATTAATTTAATTACTTTTTTACTATTAATTGGAAACAAATTTAGGACAGGAAAAAAATTCTAATAGAGAAAACGGTATTGTCCAAATTTAAAGATTCTTTAATACTTTAAAGGTAAATAAAAAAGATTAAAATCATAATTTTGTATATCATGTGATTAAAAAATATATCAGCCTGCATTTTTACACTGCTGCAAACTAAATTTCTGAGGTTATACCACGTATAATTTTTACACGAATAACCTTCTGTAAAAACACGTGAAAATTGTAAACATTTTAATTTAGTAAAAATCATAATACAAATAAGTCGTCTAAATTCCAAAAGCATTATGCATTATTAAAAGCGTTGATTAAGAAAGTCTCCACTCAACCAGTGGCGTAATAAGCACCCCCGCAGACCCCGCACGGCGGGCGGCCCAGACGGTCAGGGGGCCCAAGGCTCACCTCACTCTTTAAAAGTTTAAACCAATAAATTAAGGAAATATTTAATTTTTTTTAAATATTTAATCTTAAAAAAATTAAAAATCTTAAAAAACTAAACGTATAAGTATTTTTTGTTTAAAATATTTATTTAATTCGTTGATTTTGAACATGCGCGAGAAATAAAATGCGGTTGTAGCGCCATCTATTAAACGCTTTTTCATATGTTAATATTTGCTAAATGAATAATGTTATTTGTTATATTTTAATTATATGGTTATGGTTTGAAAAATATGCAAAAATTATTTGTTAAAAATAGTTAAAATTGAACAATTTAAAAAAAATGAATTTAAAGTCAATACGACAAAATATTAACTTTATAGAATTACCATGGTGGATAAAGACTCTTAATTAAAGAGGCCACCTGTATTTTAGTATTTTAAAATTATTACAGTTTGTATCGACAATATGGTTCTTTGCAAATTCGCACATGCGTAAAAACTTCTTTTAGTTCATGTGTAGTTATCTTTATACACTCTTTACCTACCTGTCAAAAATTTTAATTAAAAAAATATTATGTTTATAATGTGGGTTTAAAAGTACTATGATAAACTAATTTAAAAATTACCTAATGGTAATAATAAACTTTTTACTTATTGTAAAGGGGGCCATTTAAAACGTTTGCGGGGGGCCACTTAGAATTTAAACAGTATAATAGCAAGAACCGGTATTACATTATGTATTATATATAATTATTTTACCATCAATTAGTAGGTATATTTTGTTTAAATCAGTTGTCGGTGTTTTTTTTAGACTCAAATATAAATATGTTCAATATTAAGCTTACGTTTGCACAACAATTATTTTTTTGTCCAAACTATTAGGTAAAGTTATTATTAGTTAATTCTGCACCAACAAATATACGTACTGAATTGGATACTTTGACAAAACATGAAAATGCAACGATTTGGTTCTTGAATTTTGTTTAAAATTAAAAATACAATAATTTACCATGATCACTTAGATAAAATACGAACACTAACGTAACTATGTATATAATAGGCTGGTTCAAAAAAATCAACTTTTATTTTTTCTTATAATTTCTTTATAATATTTAGAGGTCGCGCATCGAGAATTTCTATTTTCCATTTAAATAACAGATGTCAGATTTTATTTAGGTATTAAATCATTTAATTATTCACTCGTGTGATTTAAGTATGTCGTCTGGCGACTCGAGACGCAAACCTCATCCTCGTGAATAATAGCCTGCATTATCTTTCGTATAATAATATATTATCTTTTACCTAATAATCTTTTTAAAAATTAATTTGGTTTACTCATGAAGTTCAAAATAATTTATAATTCGTTTTAAATTATAAACTCGGCTTACTCAAGGTTAAAACATTAAATTTTAGCTAGAATTTAATAATAAGTATAACAAAGCTTTGCAGGAGAAAATGCAGGATATTTTTCACCAGGAAGAAGTTTCCGTCTCGGGTCGTCAGACGAGAGACGCAAATCATCTGAGTAAATAATATTGAGTTTAATACTATAATTTATCTTCTTTATTTACTAGATAATTCGTTGATTTTAAAAAATAAATAAATAAAATCTGAAATCCGTCAGTTGGTTAACCTCACTTTCTAGCAATTTTAAATAATATTATACACGCCTTCTTATAATTTAAAAACCGATCGATTCAAATCACATTAAAAACGTAATTTCAAAGGCTTTGCACAAATTATATGCAAGGACATGGATTTAATCAATTATATTTCTTTTATTACCTACCCAAGATTGGAGGAATAACTATAAGGATGTATTTTACATAAATGACTTTAATAACTTTCATCCAATTAATACCATGTTAAAGAATTGTAATGAAACTTTAAATAGGTTAAGGAAAGTAGATTTATATAATATAAAAACAAAAATAAATGGAGAATTGCTTTTAAGCATCAATAATTGTTACTAAGCAGTTGCGGACTAAGGGGGGGCGGTCCGCCCCGGGCCCCCGAATCCTAAGTAGTCTTTCTCAGTCCAACAAAAAATTATCTAAAATTTAGGGTTTTAAAATTTCCAGAAAAATAGAGCCGGCGAAAAAAAACGGTTTTTTTCGGAAAAAAAATGTGAAATTTTCAGAAAAATTGACTTGCATTTTTCTTATTTTATTCAAAGAGAAATACAAAAAATGCAAATGTAGGAATTTCCGACGCTGAATATAATCATAAAATCTTTTCTTTTTACAAATGTATATATTTTAAAACAAAAAAATCAATTTTTTCCAAAAAAATCAATTTTTTCCAAAAAAATCAATTTTTTCCAAAAAAATACATTTTTTTAAGGCCTGGTTTTTTAAAACCCTGGTATAGGTATAAATATTTCAGGACCCAGCCTTACCATAAAATATAAACTGATTAAAAAAAAATACCCCCGAGATTTCAAGTTTCTAAAGAATAACATGCTATGAAAAAAAAACCAAAATAGAAAGTCAAGACTAAAAAAGATTTTTAATATTTTCGTCTCGGGAACCCCTGGCTGCAATCCATCCGAAATTATTAATTACATTAAATAATGGTTAATCTTAGACTGCCATGAGTGGGCCCCTTGATTTTTAAAATTTAAATTATTAACAAGTTCAAATATAAGTATACTTTTAAGTTCGCTGGAAAAAGCTTGTAATCAATTTTCATATCCCTGATTATATTAAGAATGTTGCAAAGGACTTGCTAAGAGGATCTACTAAGAAATTTAAAATAACAAAGCAATAATATTTACAAAACAATCACGTTATTTCATAAGCAGACTAGGGGCTATTTTACCGCCCCGTTATAGTATAGTTATTTGAAATAACTTATTTCGTAATGTGATATATTGTTTTTATACACTTTTTTGTGCTGCACTTTACATGTGATTACTGACTGATTAGTGCTTATAAAGTTTTCCTAATAAATAAATAAATTTTAAAATCTGCCAATCACTGATTAATAACAACGTAAATAATGAGTTTATTATTTCCGTTGCTAGGCTAGGAATTTATAATGGTTATGTTATAGGAGTAGATAATAGTTATTTATGTCATAAGGCTGAGAAGTCATTTTGGGCTCATATCAGTCCGACGCGTTAGCGGAGGCCTACAATTGAGCGAAGCACAAAAAGACACATCTATATTTTATTTAACACCCATTTTATTGTTTTTAACCGGTAGGCGAAACTTTAATTCTCCCACTAGTGGGCAAAATAGAATTTCGCGGGCTGAAGTTGGCTTTAAATTGAATTTAAAAAAAGGGGGGTTAAAACCAATTGAATAATATACTGTGTTCGACTATTGGTTAAAAAAGAAGATTCCACTCGATGTGTGAGACTAGTCGCACAATATACTATATCTACTCCTACATTGACGAGCTGTGACTTTATGGCGTTTTAGTCACAGGCTAAATTTGAAACAGTAGCTTTAGAGCTTTTTAATCACGAGCTAAAACTAGCTTTACTATAAAATTTATAGTATAAATTGGAAAAAGTATTGTTAAATCTGAGTGACAGTTGTCAGATGCCTAATGTTTAACAAATAACATTTGCTTGATAAACTTTTCTAGACACCCTTTTTAATTAAAAAGATCCCTCGCTCGTGCCTAATTAAACTCTTTTTTAAAATGGCGTTTATAAAACTTAATACATAATACCCACTATACCTACTATTAAACTTTTTATGTCGAAACTTTTAAATATTTACTTACAACCACCTTAATATTCGCATCTTAACTAGTTTTTTTTTGTGTATGAACTTTCACCATTTTTTTTGCACTTTACTATTCCCCGGCTCACCCTAAAATGTATTCTTTATTTTTAGGAAAGTTGAAATTGACTTTCGACTGGTAATAAGAAACACATCGGATTGGAGTGAGACTGCAAAAAATGGGGACCATGTGTGGGCTAAGACTACTGAATCGACAGAGGCCTGTCAAGTAGGCGAGCACGATTGCACTGTAAGTTACCTTTTAAATTTATATTAAAGATCTTAATTGAAAACGTACGATTATAATAATTTAAAAATTATACCTTCATTACTTCCAGGAGCCAGCACTATCATAGTACAATAATACAGTAATACTCGTACAATAATTGTATTAGCAGCACAGTAAAAAATGTGTTAATTTTAACCAAATATTAACCAGATTGTATGTTAATCCAGGTCCACATAACCTTATATTAAGTTTACAACCAATTGACACGTTTCTCGGAAAAACATCATTAGTCCAAAATTAACATATTTGGGAAAATTAAAAAAACTCTCCGACATTCCCATTTTTTACCAAAGTACTTTATTGACCTATTCACTACATGTAAAAAAATTTAAGATACTTTGTCCAGAATTCCTCATGTTTTTTTTCAAACGAATATGAAAAAAACACAAAAAATACATGAACATGTGAGGTTTTTAGAAGAAAAAAACGAACAATTGTCCTTACTACAAACTTAATATTAACTCTGAGTAACAAAATAAATGAAAAAACTAAAAACTGTATTACTGCCACACTCAGTCTTCGCATCCACTGCTGTTATCATCGTTGTCGACCGTGTTATCAGGACTGTCAGGTGCTATGGTCTTCTGGTCTTTTATCAAGTTATCATAAAATTTTCTATTTCTGTGGTCATGTAAAAGAGGTAGAAGCTTTTCTAGAGTGTTTGTTTTCTTAATTGGTATTGGCAGATCGTATGCAGAAAGTCACATGTTATGCACATGTGACTTTCTTAGACGAAACGGAGTGGACTTGTGATGTTTTTATAAGAACAAGCTAAATTTCATATTTAATTATTATGGAACCTATAGGTTATGACATTTTTACGAGAAACACTTATTTGTATACGTATATATTGAGGTTAGGAAACAGTTGGTGCTAATATCTAAATTTCGACGATTTTGGACTAATGATGTTTTTCCGAGAAACACCTCAATTGTAATCTGTTAACTAATATAATAAGTAGCTTGTAATTATACCAGACATTTTGTAGATTTAATAACAAAATTCTATGTCATTAATTCAACCAAAGTTCTTGTAATTTTCAAAAAGCATCTTATTTTTACAAACCTTTTTGTAGACCCAGTAATAAAAGTATTTGTTGGAAATTGGTAACTTAAATGAAAAGAATTAAAATTGATGTTGCTTTCTTAATCAATTTCGTAAACAAAAAAATTAACACATAGGTACCTACTGTTTGTCCACGAAGTTGGCGGACCAAAGGAATTAACTTATTTAGTTATTAAACAATTGGCGTGTTGTGTGCTTTTAAAACGTATTTTTTATAATATAAATAATAATAATATTTAATTTATACACACACACACATATACAGGGTGGTCCAGGTTATAGTAGCAATAATTCACCATTCGATAGTCCATCGAAAAATAAGTCGACGTGCATGGTAATTTTTTTCTCCAAAACCCCTCCTAAGGGAGATACAGCCCTTCAAAGTTGAGTTTTAAAAATCTTTTTTTGTCATAACTCTCAGGAAATAAAAGCGTTTTTGACCAAATTTGGTACAAGTACTTATGAAATAGGTACTTGTTACCTGACGTAAGTAACTTTTGTCAAAATTGTCCAGTGACGTAGATACAGGGGGGTTGTTTCACTTTTTCCACCCCATTTTTTACGCCACTGGATATTGGTTTAAATTGACCTATTTTTCTAATTCCTTGTTCAATTTTGACAAAAAAAGCCACTCTTGTCAAATTTTTATTTAAGGCTTTGTTTACGAGATAATTGAGTTTAAAAAAAAACATACAGTCCTGCAAAGTTCAGTTTTAAATATATTTTTTTTGTCATAACCCTAACTCTAAGATCGCTAAAGCGTTTTTCACTAACTTTGATACAAGTACTTATGAAGTAGATACTCGTTACTTGACCCAAGTAACTTTTGTCAAAATTGTCCATTGGCGTACATACAGTGGTTGTTTCACTTTTTCCGCCCAGGATTTCACTGAAAAATAACTCGACATGCATTGTTTTATTTTCTTCAAAACGTCCCCTAAAGCCCTTCAAAATTCAATTTTAAGATTTATCTTTTTGTTATAACTCTCATATCGTTTAAGAATATTTGATTAAATTTGGTATAGGTATTTAAAATAGGTAATCAACACTTGACGTATTTTTATTTAAAATTATCAAGTGGCCTGATGCGCTTTATCCAATAAAATTAGGGCGGCCCCACTCTAGTATGAACTGTCAGTCTTAAACAACTGAAATAGCTGTCAGAGTGTTAATAAAGGTTTTCTATTATTTTTTACAGTCTGTTAAGATATTTTAGAGTTAATACAAGTATCCTGTAATCATAAATATGCCTTTTCGATTCACGAACCAAGAATACGCCGATATTCACTTCATTTATGGATTTTGTTATGGGAACGCGTTGCAAGCAGTTCAAGAATATCAAACGCGTTTTCCCAATAAACGACAGCCACATCGCAAGGTCTTTGAGAATGTACACAACCTATTGGTGACACAATCACATCAGTGAAATCCTGAGCGGAAAAAGTGAAACAACCCCTGTATCTACGCCAATGGACAATTTTTACAAAAGTTACTTGGGTCAAGTAACGAGTATCTATTTACTAAGTACATGTATCAAAGTTGGTAAAAAACGCTTTAGCGATCTTGGATTTAGAGTTTAGAACTTTGCAGTACTGTATGTTTTTTTTTAAACTTAATTATCTCGTAAACAAAGCCGTAAATCAAAGTTTGACAAGAGTGGCTTTTTTTTTCAAAATTGAACAAGGAATTAGAAAAATAGGTCAATTTAAACCAATATCCAGTGGCGTAAAAAATGGGGTGGAAAAAGTGAAACAACCCCCCTGTATTTACGTCACTGGACAATTTTGACAAAAGTTACTTACGTCAAGTAACAAGTACCTATTTCATAAGTACTTGTACCAAATTTGGTTAAAAACACTTTTATTTCCTGAAAGTTATGGCAAAAAAAAATTTTTAAAACTCAACTTTGAAGGGCTGTATCTCCCTTAGGAGGGGTTTTGGAGAAAAAAATTACCATGCATGTCGACTTATTTTTCAATGGACTATCGAATGGTGAATTATTGCTACTATAACCTGGACCACCCTGTATATATATATATATATATATTAGGGTGTTTCAAAAAAATCGACTTTTTCTTTTTCTTCAAATGGTCGGCAAATTCTTTCAGAGCATGTCAACACAAAGACCTCGTCAAAATTTGAACTTTTAATTTGAAGATTTAGAGGTCTCGGATCGCAATTTTCTATTTCCCATTTAAATAACATTGGAATTTTTTTTTAACTTTGAAATTTTATACGTCTGAATCGAATCAACTTATGTCAAGGATCATTTTGGATTTTTATAGTAAATTTAACGCTCTACAAAAAAGGTCTCTTATCATTTTTCTATAAATTGATTCCTTTCAGAGTTACTCGAGGCCAAAGTTTGATTTCCATCGAATTTTCGCGATTTTTTTAACATTTATGGTACAATTATCATTATACAGGTGTCCAAAAATTAGGGGGCCAAACTTAAACAGTCCATTATTCGTATAAAAATAACACTTTTTTTTGTTTAATAAACATGTATCAAAAAATGCTTCCTATAGAAGCTACGGCCCCCTGAATAGGAGCCTAAGAGGATAATTTTTTTAAAACTATTCCTAGAGGGTTGAACATGAACAAATGAATTTTCGGTACTTTGGTAATTTTGACATGCTGAATCTAGATTTTGGAGGGGGCAAAGTTACAAAAATAGCCCCAATTTTTTTCTGGGTTAATAATTTAATTTTTTTTATGAAATTATGAGAATTTATAGTTTTTTACGAAAAATAGGTACTCTTGATTTGAATTGCTCAGATGCACCATTTTCGAGAAAAATGCATTTATATATAAATTACTCTGCATATTATACACATCTCATATTTTCATTAAAACTTTGTAGTAGGCTTTGGAAAAAATTGACGTTTTTTTGTTTTTTTGTTTTTTTTTCACAACACTTCCTATGTTTCAGATATAAATATGTGATTTTTTTACTACATTATGCTAAAAGTTGAAAAAACGAGAAAATTCGATTGAAATCAAACTTGGCCTCGAATAACTCTGGAAGAAATCAATTTATAGAAAAATTATAAGAGACATTTTTTATAGAGCGTTAAATTTACTATAAAAATCTAAGATGTTCCTTGCCATAAGTTGATTCGATATAGACGTATAAAATTCAAAAGTAAAAAAAAAAAAATTCCTATGTTATTTAAATGGAAAATAGAAAATTGCGATCCGCGACCTCTAAATCTTCAAATTAAAAGTCAAATTTTAACGAGGTCTTTGTTTTGAAATCCTCTGAAAGAATTTGCTGACCATTTGAAGAAAAAGAAAAAGTCGATTTTTTTGAAACACCCTAATATATATGTATATTAGGGTGGTCGTTAAAAATTAAATTTTTTGCGACGCCCCCTAAAAAGCTTCGTTTTGATTAAAAAACACAGGGAATTTTTTTTAATTAAAAACAACACGTGCCTTAAGACGATCTAAGGGCCGGTTTTTAAATTAGGGTTTAAACCTTGGTTCAGGGGAACTTAGATCAGTTAATGAACTCAGTTCACAGTCAAATGAGTTTTTCAATGTCGACTCAACAGAACTTAGATCAGCGGTGTCAACGTTAAGTTGGTACAACCGAATTTAGTATACGCCTACATTAATAGTAATTAAAACTGTCATTTTGACAAAAGGATTTTGTGTTTACTTTTGGAGTTTTGTTTATCTGTGATGTTTTAAAAAGTTATAATCTGTGCGAAAGGGTGCTTTAAAACAATTTATTATTGTTAAAGAACAATAATTATTATTTATTATGGATAAAAATCGTGCTGCCAACTTTACCTCTTTTAAGGAGGAATTATTTGTATTTATTTCGTTTAATATTATAAAATGAATTTGTCATTTTTTGTTACATGTGATGAATTTTACTAAAATCTTTTACCTATTCAGTAATTATTTTTATAACT